TGCTGAGCCATGTCTCCAGCCCCTTGTTTCGGTGTTTTGTTTGTTTGTTTGTTTTTTCCTGGTCTTTTTGAGACCAGGTCTCCCTGTAGCTCTAGCTGGCCTGGAACTCCCTATGTAGACTAGGCTGACCTTGAACTGACAGAGATCTGCCTGCCTCTGTCTCCCCAGTGCTGGGATTAAAGGCGTGTGCCACCATGCCCGGCTTTTGTTTTTGTGTTTTTGAGACAGGCTTTTACAGTGTAGCTCTGGCTGGCCTCCAACTCATCATGTAGTTAAGGCTTGCTTCCAAATCATGACAATTCTCCTGCCATAATCTTCCAGGTGCTGGCCTTACTGGGGTACTGCCATGCTTGACTTCCAGCCACTGTTTAAACAGAATAAGATCTCACGAGCATAGTCAGAGGACCTTGGGGACCATCCCTAGTCACTTTCCCCTTGTCTAGAGCTCACCACCCATGTGATTTCATTTCTGTAGCCAAGAAATGGCAGAGCTGGGATCTAAGGTCATGAGGACTCTGGAGTCGTCCTCACTTGTAGCTGGCCAGGCCTTCCTCAGGGGAAACTAAAGCCCTCAGCCCTCCTAGGGAAGTGAGGGAATCTTGCTTCAGGAGCTAAAAGACCCAAGTGAACCTTCAGTGTCAGCTCAGTTTCCAAACTGGAGTTCTCCTATATGGCTGTTTTCTTTGTTATAAAGTGTAGAGAAAGATACTTTCTCAAGAGCAGTGAAACCAGCTAGCTTTAAAGCAGAGCCCTCTGTGGCCACAAGGGAGCACTGTCAGCCTCCAGGAGTCCTCCAGCTCTGGTCCTCCCCAGCACAGCCACTCTTGCCTTTGCCATGCTGGTCTTTGATGTTATTGCAGGTTGTTTTTTTTTTTTTTTTTAAATATTTTTTAAAATTTATTTTTGTTTTATGTGTACGAGTGTATTGCCTGCCTGTATGTGAGTGCACCCATGTCATGCAATGCCGTGAAGGTCAGAAGAGGGCTTCAGAGTCCCCTGAAACTGGAGTTAAGGAAGGTTCGTAGCCGCCATGTGGGTGCTGGGAATCAAACCCGGGTCCTCTGCAAGAGCAGTCAGTGTTCGCTAAGCCATCTTTCCAGCCCCTGTTACTGCAGTTTTACAGACAAGAGAGCAGTTCCTAACTAACAGGCGTAGTCTGCCTGCCTTACTTGCTTACTTCCATCGTATTTGGCTTCTTCTACTGGGTCTTATGCTCTTTTGTCTCCTCCATGATGTGTAGATGAACACCTGGGTCCTTTCTGTTTGGCCATTGCCACTAGTAGTTTATTCCTCCTCCTATGGGTAGGCGCCTAGCAGTTGGGGTCATTGTGAACATTGCTGATGTGAACCATCATGCATGTCTGTTGGTAATATTTCTGTTGGGCTGGGAAACTGCTGGTCATAGGATAGCCATATATTGAGATTTAATTATTACTGACAGTTTTCTGTGATGGTCTCACCATTTTGTACTCCTGCCAGTAATTCACACTTGGCATAATGATTTTTTATAAGTTTAGCTGTCCCAGGCTGGTGGTTTTAATCTGCATTTCCCCATAACTAAAGAGATTTGTGTGTTCTATTGTTCGGGTGTCCTTTTCCGTGAGATACCTTTATTCTTTCCACCATGCCTCCCAGGTGGCTCATGCCTAGTCAGCAGCTGCACCGCAGCCCTGGCCTTCAGCACGTTCACGTGTGGCCATCATAAGACGGAAACAGGAGTTGGTGATGGGGCCATACAAGGGCTCCTGCTGTGGAGTATGCTGCACAGGGCTGCCAGGGCAGGTCTCCACGTGCTCTTGAGCTCCACAGGCAGGTCTCTGTCCCCCACCTGGGTGTCCTCGGCCTACAGCTCCCCAGTGAGTAGGCCATCCGTCTGCTTGGCTGTGCCTCCTGGTATTTCATCACCACAGGACTGCGTCAGAGACACCTCAGCTGAGGCTCCACCTTCAGTGGGAAGATGGGCTAGAGCCAGGCAGGACACAAGGGATCTTCCAGTCCCCCCCACCCCACCCCCCCAGCTGCTGCTGACTTCCTAGTCACTGAAACAAGACTGTAAAAGTGGCTCTGGTGTGCCGAACTTCGGCAGGGCCCTACTGCTCAGCTAGGAGACCCAGGTAAATGGCTTTCCTTTACTAAGCCTCTGTCCTCACCTGGGCATGTCACAGACCCTCTGGTAGGGTGTTGGTTGTGTCAGTACACCCTGCTGGCAACAGCTCTCAGACTCTGGAACCCTGACCATTCCTGGCCACACCTGGCTGCCTTTACGTGTCTTTGAGGAACGCAGCTGTGTGGAGGACTGTGTATCAGACGGCAGCTGGAGAGCCAGGCCCTTTGCTCACACTGGGTACTTGAGCGCTACTGGATCTCAGAGGCTCTGAGGGATGGCATCGCGATGGACACTTAATCTGTACTCCAGCTCTTTGAGAAGTATTCTGAACTGAGCCCATAGCCGGGACGTTTGGTGCTGGACCCGACCCTGAGCAGTCAGTCAGTTTCTCTGGCTTCCCCTGTGTGCTGCTCCTTTTGCCTTGAGACCTTTGCATTTCCTCTTCTGCCTGAAATTCTTTTCCTTGTGCTTCTGCTTTGTTCACCCCCTTGGTTACTTGAGGCATCTGCTCAGTGCCCCCTGCAACGTGTGGCTACATAACACCCTTGCTATTTCCCCCTTGTTTTTCTTGTCAGCACCTCCTTACCACCTGATATCATTCATGCATGTTTGTATGGTTCTGTCTTCCCCTGCCAGAATGTGAGCTTCATGAGGCCCGTCACTGTGTCTTAGTGATGCTCTGTCTCCAGCACCCAGGCCAGTGCCTGGAGCTTAGGGCACACTCAGGAAAGACTGGTGGCACAGGCAGAGTTCAGATGTCTCTGCAGCTAGATCTGGGCTAGCCTGGGGCTTTTTGGGAGACTCAGCTCATTCATTGCTGGGCTAGCCTTTTTTTTTTTTAATGTGGATTCATATGGGAATCCATTTTATCTTTTTAAATATTTTATTATTTTTATTTTATGTGTATAAAAGCGTATTGCCTGCATGTATGTTAGTGCATGCGTGTTGTGCAATGCCACAGAGGTCAGAAGAGAGCTTCAGATTCCCCTGGAACTGGAGTTAAGGATGGTTTGTAGCCTCCATGTGGGTGCTGGGAATCGAACCCGAGTCCTCTTCAAGAGCAGTCAGTGCTCTTAACTGCTGAGGCATCTCTCCAGCCCCAAGCTAGCCTTCTTTAATAGTGTGGGGGAACTGCCTGAGGAGTGCACAGGAGCACCCAAGTGCAGCCTCTGAGATGAGATCTGAGAAAGCGCTGTTGTTCCGAGGCCCTGAGGAGGGAGACTGGCAGGGTAGAGCAGTTGCTGTCGTGATGATGAGCCTTTGCTTTCTAGGTTCAAGAACAGCCCATGTGGCCACTTCAATGTAAGGAGGACTTGGTTCTCTTTTCTAAAGCACATTGGGGAGCTGGGAAGGGTTTGGGCAAAGAGGGGACAAGGTCAGATATAGATGCAGTTGGGGGATTAGAGCAGAGGCTGGGGGCCATGGGAGAGGCCTGAGAGGGCCCACCTGGGCCTTCAGGACTCAGCCTGAACAGGGTGGGCATGCAGGATGGGTAAGCATGCAGCTGCTGGAGCAGTTGGAAGCCTGGACAGCCTTGAGTGCCAAGCTGAGGACCAAGCATTTGTTTTTTGCAAGGACATGGTGAGCCACAGAGGACTTTGAGCTGAGGAAGGACAGAGTCAATTTAAGAGTCCCTCTGGCTGCTGAGTTGAGGCAGGGAGGTGGGACCCTCAGAGGATGGGGAGTAGTTGGGGTTGCCATTGGCGGGATATTTAGGACTGAAAGGCCCTGTGTGCCTGTGTAAGTTGGGATGTAAAGTGTCACACATGTACAGGGGAGGTCCCGGCCTTCCTCACTCCTTCAGTGCCTTTGCAACCTTGAGTCCAGCTTATGATTCTTACCCTCCCGTCCTCCTCCCTGTCTCTAGCCACCTTGCCTTTCCTCTGCTTCCTCCCATTTACCTCCCTTCCTTTCACCCCCAGGCCTGGGCAGCCTGCCACTGTCACATGCCAAGCAGTACCATGTCCGGCCCACCAGCTCCCCTGGGGCACGAGAGAAAGCTGATGCCCATGCTGTCCCTAGAGCCAGCTGCCACTTCTCTGGGGGCCTCTGTAGCTCCTAACCTGATGTCCGCAAATAACCCTGGACTGGGAGAGGCACAGGGTTCCTTGGGCTCTGTGGCCCTGTCCAGGCCCAGGCTCCAGGTAGGAGCCCAACTGGCAGTTTCCTGTGTACACCCTTCTCTCCTCTGCTAAGGGAATCCGAGACAACACCAGCCTAGGCGTCTGTTGGCTGTAAGTGTCCAAGGACAGAGGCAGATGTCTTGGGGAAGGGACCAGGGCTTTAGTCAAGCCCCTAAGACTGGCTTCTAGGTCCCAGGCAAGTGTGTGTGCAGTAGATTCCTTCAGTGTGTGCTGGAGCTGAGATTGTGGTTTCCTTATTCTTCTGGTGGGGCAGGGAGGGAACTGAGGCCAAGGGATGACATGGGTGTCTCAGCACTTAGGGGAGAGGGTGCTTACTTTGCCAAAGGTGGCAGGTTGATTTGGAAAGGGTGTGTGTGTGTGTGTATGTGTGTGTGTGTGGTGTGTTCACGTGTTCATGCTCTTCAGGCAGACAGATGTTGGTGTCTTTGAGCACGCCCTTCATGCCCTGGGCTGTCTGATTCATCCTGGGTTACCTCAGCACTGGGGCATGGCAGTGAGGCCACAACTATCTTGCTCTCTCTTGCCCAGCCAGAGGCAGGGAGGGAGGAGCCTGGGTGTGGGGCCTGTGACATTGGGCTCCTTAGGGACCTATGTATCTCCCATAGGACTGATCCCTGAGGGGAAGCTCTCCCCAACTGCCTGCCTGCATCCACTGTTTAGCAAGCCAAGGAGCCAGAAGGCCTCAGAGCTTGAGGGAGGGCCTGGGCACATCCCTCCTACTCTTATGGCTCCTTTCTTCTCTATTACAGACTGCACTGTGTCCACGGCACCTCCTGCATGTCCTGCTGCCTTGAACTGTCCCAAGTAAGGTGACAGCGTGTCACGCTGCCACCATGAATGAGGTGTCTGTCATCAAAGAAGGCTGGCTCCACAAGCGCGGTAAGGGGTCACTTCTGCCCACCACATTATGTCTCCCTCTTGTACTCTGTTCCTCTCCAGCACCTGATACCCCAGCAAAGGAGCCATTGTCTTGTGGCCCTAGATGGATACTCTGAATGAGCCCAACCTAGGCCTCGGCTCTGCCTGTCTGTCAGTAATCTCATTTACAACCCCATCTTAACAGGTGAAGAAACTAAGACGGGGCAGTCACGTAACTGAAATAACACAGCCAGGCACCAGTCAACATTCACAGATGTGAGGCTCTGGGACCTTGTTGAGGTCATGTCCAATGGAGAGTGGGGACAGAGAGGGAGACATCCTGTTAAGTGATGAGAAGTGCTGGCGAATTTGGGGTCCAAGAACTGGATAGAGACAGTCTGGAGCAGGGTGTACTCTGAGAAGATGACAGTAAGCAGAGCCTGGAGGAGGTGCAGGAGCCACACAGATAGCCTTGCAAGGGTGTACCAGGGGAGGGATAGCAAGGACAAAGGCTCTAAACACATGTGCCCAGTGTTTCTAGGAACAGTGTGGCTAGAGGAGAGTGAGCACGGTGAGGTGGAAGCCAGGCAGGGCAGCCACAGAAAGGACCGTGGCTTACTTCTGCAGGAGGCAGGAAGCTTGGGCTATTGGGAGCCAGGTGGGACTTCGTCCAGTTGTATGATGAGAAGCTGAGACCCTGGTGAGGCTGTGGACAAGGAAGAGACTAAACCTTGAGGGCTTAGGGCCACCTGTGCCCTGCGCCACTGCCTTGTGACCCTGGGAGACAGTTAGGAAGCAGCATGTGCTGAGAGTTGGCTTTGTCACTGTTGGCTTCCAGGGACCTCCTGGAGAGGAAGGGTGCCAGGCCTGGGGAGCTGGTCCACAGGCACTTCATTCACTCAGCACTTAACTCATGGAGCAGCTCCTGGAGACTCAGCAGTGAGCTGGCCAGGCAGATGCCCCATCTTGGTGGTAACATGTGATATCCTAGGGGAAGATAGGTGTCCAGACAGATTTGCATATCAAGTGGTGGTCTATGCTGTGTAGTAAAAATCAGGCGACAGAGGAGGATGGGTGTGAGATGCCTAGAGCGGGGAGCTATGACAGGGTGGTTGGAGAAGGTTTCCTGGAGGAGCAGCAGCATGTGGCTAGAGGGGACAGCCAGAGCTTCCTGAGGGGAGTAAGAGGGGCACATTTGAAGAACAGGTGGCCAATGAGAACCCTGTCCTGCCCTGTCCCAGCCCACAGGCAGCAGCAGTAGTGAGGCACTCCTCACTACAACAGAGACCCATTTCTTGTTTCCTTCACAGCAGGGTGGCACCAGGGCACCCTGGCCCAGCCCCCCCCAGACTGAATCCTGAGTTTGAGACTGTCATTGCAGCCATCCAGACCTTGGTACCTGTCGAATTCTAACGTTGGCTCTGCCTCTTCCTCTTGATGTGTCAGTGGGCAGGCCGTGCCACCCGTCTTGAGTCTTTTGTTCTTTTTGAGATGAGACCTTACCTTTTGTAGTCCAGGCTGGTGTTAGGGTTGTGGCAATCTTCCTGCCTCAGCCTCCCAAGTGCTGGATTACAGGCATGTACTACCATGCTTGGTTCTGAGTCTGTAAGATGACTCAGGTGTCTGATGATGTCAGCCTCTTCTCAGGCAAGGATTTTCATGTGACACATTCACTGTGGTGTCTTCAGTGTCTCAAGAAGTGCTTGACATAGAACAGGTACTCAGTAACAAATGCTGAGTGGGTGATTGTGATTGTATGTGGTACACCTGTGCCAGGCTCTTGGGGGTCTGTCATTCAGCTATGGTTTTCCTAGACTCACTGGGCTCAGGTGTGAGGAGGCTTGTTGAGTGATGGGGAGTTTGTCTCTGGCCCAAACTTGACTGATAAAGTCAGTCTCAGCTCTGGCTTCTTTTAAGGCTTCTTGTCTCTGTTTGTGCTTGAAGTGTTCAGTCGAACTGCCCACTGGCCTGTCCTTGTCTTTTGTGCAGACCCAGCTTGGATGCACCTGCCTTGACTACATATGCACACACATACACATGCACACTGGTTACTTCTAGGCATCCCTGGTCTATCACCTGAGCAGCAGCTGGAGCTGGATTGGACAAGGAGGGCTCTGCTGGCTTTTAACATCTTGGCATAACATCTTGGCATCTGTGCTAACCCACTCTCACCCCTGGCTGTCAGTCCCCAGGCTCTGTCCCTGGCCAGTAAGGTGTAGTTGAGTTTTTGTAGGTGCCCTCTAAGGAACCTGCCATCTTACCAACCAGCAGCAAAAGTGGTTGCCAGAGACCTCAGCACAGAGGTGGCAGAACTGGGGTGGGACCCCAGCCCTCTGCTGTATTAGTTTTCTGTTACTGTGATAAAACACCCTGACCAAGATAGCTTATATAAGGAAGATTTTTTTTTTTTTTTTGGCTTGCCATTCCAGAGGGATCAGAGTCCATCTTGGAGGGGAGGCATGGTAGGAGGCAGCTGGAGCAGAAAGCCGAGCACTCACAACAGGAAGCAGAGAGAGCAGCAGCTGGAAGTGGGATGAGGCTGTGAACTCTCAGAGCCAGCCCCAGTGTTGTGCTTCCTCCAACGAGGCCATACTTCCTAAACCTTTGCAAACAGCAGCACCAACTGGGGCCTGTGGGGGATGTCTTCAAATCACCACAGATGCTAAACTCGTGCTGAACTCAAGGCCTGGCCTACATGCTGCCTCCTTTTCAGCAGGGTCTGAGAGTATAGCTGATGAGTTGCTTGTGTCCCTGTAAGTGACACAGCTTTAGCATATCCCCGTAGGAGTGACACTGGCCAGCCCTCCCAGATAGCCTTGTCACGTAATGGAACCTGTCTCAGTTTCCTTATTTGCCTATGGGGATTAGACTGAGATGATATTTTTCCTTTCCTTTAGGCTTCTTGTTCTGGAACTCACTATGTAGACCAGACTGGGCTTGAACTCATAGAGATCTGCCTGCCTCTGCCTCCCGAGTGCTGGGATTAAAGGCGTGCGCCACCATGCCCAGCAAA